GGCAGTGGACAGACACTTCTCACCCTGCAGAAAACAGCAAGACAGAAGAACAGAATGACAAGAGTTGGAAGGGATCTTGGAGGTCTTCTAGTCCGACCCCCTGCTCAAGCAGGAGACTGTATAAATTTCAGACAAATGCCTGTCCAGTCTCTTCTTAAAAACTTCCAGTGTTGGAGCATTCATCATTTCTGGAGGCAGGTTGTCTCACTGGTTAATTGTTCTCACTGTCAGGATATTCCTCCTTAGTTCTAGGTTGCTTCTCTCTTTGACAAGCTTCTGCCCCTTACAGCAAAGAGTCCCATGATCCATACTGGCAAAAATAGAAAGTGTTTGACTTCATTAAACAGAATAACAGAGTTGGAAGGGACCTTGGAGGTCTTCTAGTCCAGCCTCCCGCTCAAGCAGGAGAACCTATACCATCTCAGACAAGTGACTGTCCAGTCTCTTCTTAAAAATCTCCAGTGATGGAGCACCCACGATTTCTGGAGGCAAGCTGTTCCACTGGTTAATTGTTCTAACTGTTAGGAAGTTTCTCCTTAGTTCTAGGTTGCTTCTCTCCTTGATTAGTTTCCATCTGTGGTTTCTTCTCCTGCCTTCAGGTGCTTTGGGGATAGCTTGACCCCCCTCTTCTTTGTGGCAGCCCTTCAAATATTGAAACACTGCTTTCATGTCAACCCATGTCCTTCCTTTCCGCGGCACGCCAGAAATCAGGCCATGTAAACAAGTGAAGTCCCATCCATGGGATACAGGCAACCCACGAAACCACACACCCCCGGTCCAATCCCTGGTGCCCCAAAGGTTGGGGGGGGGACTGCTCTAAACTAACCATACCCAGTTCTTGCAACTGTTTTTCATAACAAGAGAAGGCAATTTCAAGAGGCCATCCTTAGCAAAAAAAAAAAAAGCCAGCCAGCCATCAAGCCAGCCATCGTCATTTTGTAGGGAAGATGGGTGGTGCAGAATTTTAATAAAAAAAATAATGAATAAATAAATCTTAGGAGGACAGAAAACCTTAGAAAGCATGGTAATCCTCAGAAGAGGTTCAATAATGAGCACAGAAATTAAAAGCAAAAACCTATTTTGGGTCCCGTTGAGGAGTTCCAAGAATTCCTCACTTGCAGGTAGTCCTCGACTTTCAACTCTGCATTTAGTGAACTTTCAGAGTTACAACAGTGCTGGAAAAAGTGACTTATGTATGACCCTTTTTCACGCTTACGACCGTTCCAGTATCCCCGGTCGTGTGATCAAAATTCGGCCACTTGGCAACCGGCATATATATTTATGAGGGTTGCGGCGTTCCCGAGGTGATGGAAACATCTTTTCCCACCTTCAGACAAACAAAGATCCTGGGGAAGCCAGACTGTCTTCACAACCATGTTACTAATTACAGAATAGCAGTGTTGGGAGGGACCTTGTAGGTCATCTAGTCCCACCCTGTACCCTGTTCCCCCAATCCTCCATTTCTTCTGAATATATAACGGAAAACCCAAGTTTCTCTTGTGTAAGAAACTTAGTGCTGTGTGTTCTTTCGCCCTAACAAACAAAGGAAAAGCAGAAGAGAATTCCTCTGGATCTTGCCAAGATGCAAAGCAGTCAAACGCTGCTTGGGTTTTCCATTATATATTTAGAAGAGATGGAGGATTTGGGGAACAGGGTACGGGTAATCCTCGACTTGCAACTACGACTGAGCCAAAATTTCTGTTGCTAAGCAAGTCAGTGAAGCGAAGTTTGCACGATTTTATGACCTTTTTTTTTTGGCCACAGTTGTTAAGTGAATCACTGCAGTTGTTACATCTCCTGGCTTGAGCAGGGGGTTGGACTAGATCTTGGACCTCCAAGGTCACTTTTTATACACAAGAGTGTGCGTCAGTTCATAACTCCAGGGCAAAGAACAAGAGTAATTCCCATAGATCCGAAAACTATATAATAATAATAATAATAATAATAATAATAATAATAATAATAATAATAATAATAATAATAATAATAATAATAATAATAATAATAATTGATGATGATAAAGTTGGAAGGGACCTTAGAGGTCATCTAGTCCAACCCCCTGCTCAGGCAGGAAACCCTATACCATATACATGTCTTTGTGTGTGTGTTTGTGTGTATGTAACATATTAAATATTAACTTCCCATTGCTGAACAATATTCACTGTTTAAATGGACACAATAATAAAACCATTCCAACCCAACCACATACAAAAATTGAAATACTGGCCGGTTCAGGCCCATTTATTGTTCCTTCGCCTTTCTCACTTGTCTTCCAATAATCTATTTTTAATATCTATCTATCTATTTGATATACTGGGGCTTCCTTCTGATCCAATGCAGCCGAGCTCTTTTTTTTTTTTTTACACCTACTTTTCATTCCTTAAACAATGATTGCTTCATTTCCAAAAGATGCTCCAACAGCAGTTAATATTTGTTTTCTGCCTTTATTATTTTTATAAATAACTCAAGGCAGGGAACATACTAATAGTCCTTCTTCTTTTTATTTCATCCACAACGAAAACCCTGTGAGGTGGGTTTGGCTGAAAAAGTGGGTCTGACCCAGTCACCCAGCCAGCTTTCATACCTAAGGTGGGACTAGAACTCACAGCCTCCCGGTAATTGGCCCACAATCACCCAGCTTAGGCTTTCATGACCTCCCCAAAGTCACCCAATCAGCTTATTTGCCTAAGGTGGGACTAGAACTCACAGTCTCCTAGTGATTGGTCCAAAGTCACCTGATTGGATTTCATGCCTAAAGTGGCACTAGAACTCACAGTCTCCTAGTGATTGGCCCAAAGTCCCCCAATTGGCTTTCATGCCTAAAGTGGGACTAGAACTCACAGTCTCCTAGTGATTGGTCCAAAGTCCCCCAATTGGCTGCCTAAAGTAGGACTAGAACTCACAGTCTCCTAGTGATTGGCCCAAAGTCCCCCAATTGGCTTTCATGCCTAAAGTGGGACTAGAACTCACAGTCTCCTAGTGATTGGCCCAAAGTCCCCCAATTGGCTTTCATGCCTAAAGTGGGACTAGAACTCAGTCTCCTAGTGATTGGTCCAAAGTCACCTGATTGGATTTCATGCCTGAGGCAAGACTAGAATTCACTCTCCCCTGGTTTCTAGCCTGGTGCCTGAACCATTTGACCAAATTGGCTCTCACTGTTATTTAGCCTCACAATATTCTTGCAGTGCCAACTAGGATGGGGGGGGGGAAGGTCCATGGCTGAATGTGGCACTGGGTATAGGCTGAGGTACAATCTCATGTACTTGGCTTTTGTTGAAAGAAAAATCTTCATCAGGGTCCAGTCCAAGCTGGGAACAAACAAAATGGAGACTGCTCGAGAAAGAAGGTTGCAGTTTATTGAAGAGCAAAGCCAGACAAAAGTGTGGCTCCGGGAAAGCTGACCACATGGAGCTGGGAGTGGTGGGTTTTTATACCTTCTTGAGCTTTTGTTTGGAGTTCTTCCTATGGCATGAACTTTGACCTGAGTCTGAGTGTGCCTTTCTGGTATTCTGATGGTGTTGGGTTAATCTATTACATCCTAAAAGTCATATCCTGCTTCCCTGGGGCTGTGGCTGATGGCTATGTCCTGTGTTGGGTTTTTTTGGTGTGAGGGATTGTTGATTCTAGGGATCTTTGTCTTTCTAATCCCATCAGCTATAAGCTTCTAGGTTCCAGTCTTTCTGAAAGGATTATGATATCTGCATTTCTACAGAGCTGCTTTCTACGTGGGGGAGGGAGACTTGGGGCTATTAATAAAAACTGGGCATGCTTTTCTGCCTTTTTAAGATCCTTTGAGGAAATATAACATTCTGCCCTTTTTAATATCTCCTTCTCTGGGTGGGGGTGGGGGCCTGACTTCCCCCACTTTCAATTCGCTTATGGGCAGAAATGGGATAAATCTGCCTTTTCTTAATCTGCTGCTTTCCAGACCTGCTACATTGCAGGTAGAATCAACCCCAGGCAGCACTTTGGATGGGCAGACGATAAAATTTAGGGTCCACTCAGCCCCTCCAGAGGGCAACGGGATTAGGAGGTCCTCAAATAAGCTTTCAGATGACAAAACAAATCAATAATTTCCTACAGGTACGTGCGCAATACAGGCAGCCCTCGACTTCCCGCCACCGATTCGAGCCCAACATTTCTGTGGCTTAGAGAAAAGATTCGTTAAGTGAGTTTTGTCCCATTTTACGACCACAGCTTTCTGACCACAGCTGTTAAGTAAACCCCAGCCGTCGTTGTCAGAAACACGGTTGTTAAGTGAACCTGGCTTCCCCTATTGAGTTTGCTCGTCAGAAGGCCGCTAAAGGAGATCTCATGATCCCCCCCAAACATTGCAACCGTCATAAATGCGAGTCAGTTGCCAAGCGTCTGAATTTTGATCACGTGACCCCGGGAACGCGTCCCTAAGTTTGAAAAATGGTTTTTCAGCACGGTTGTAACTTCGGTCACTCAACGAACCCGTTGTAAGTTGAGGACAATCTGTGGGCAAGGGAAGGTGACATTTCTTTTTTTTCCTTTTCCATGCTTTTCAGGGATCTCTTCCCATTTTCCCTTCCATGCAACCCACCACACAGCAACATCCCAGCCCACAAGCCACGCCCACACGCAGTATTGGCCACGCCCACACGCAGTATTGGCCACGCCCCCGGGAATCGGGGAGAATGGATCCGCCCAAGAAGCCACGCCCACTGATGGACCACGCCCCCCCTCGAGCAAGACGGCAGAAAGAAACGGAGCGAGCCCACCATCCCCCTTTCGGGGTGAATAATGGGCACGCCCAGATACACTCCCAGCCTCCCCCCCTCCAGGCGTGAGGAATGGTTGGATCCGGCGGGGGGAGGGGGGACGTTTTCTTACATTCCTGCCCTCCTCCGCGGCTTTTCCACCCCTTTTGTTCCTTCCGTTCGTTTAGGCCGCTCTTCAGGGGGCCACTTCGGTCCTCAAGGGAGCGGCGGCTCCGTTCTGCGCGGTGGCGGCCCGCCAGCAGTCCCGAGACTTACCATGGTCTCGAGCGTAGTAACCGCCGTCTCCATGTTGAATAGTTGACATTCCTCAGGCGGTGGCATTCTCCCCTCCCCTCGCGGGACCGCCCCTTTCTTGGCTGACTGGAAGAGACGACGCTCCCTATTGGGCCCCTGTCATTCGATCCTCTTCTTCATTGGCTGCTCCCGAGGACGTCCTTACATCCATTGGATAATGACTGGGATAACGCCCCAAGATGAAACGAGAGCTCTAATTGAGCGCCTTAGAAGCTACGCCCTTTCCCATTGGTTCGTTAATAGCGAAGCGAGCTGGGAGAAAAAAATCAGACAGAGAGGCCGGATTGGCCGGCGGGCACCAGCATGCGGCGCTTCATTGGCCCTTCGCGTAGCTTTTAATTTTCAAAGGCGGGCCGGCTCGTCGATGCCCTCCTTCCTCCCGCCTCGCCGACTTTGACTCTGATTGGCTCCCGTTTGAAACCCGAAAGACTGATTGGTGGAATCGCCCGTCAATCAGAGGGACTGTAATGCCTTTGAAGTTTGAGGCGGATGGAACGTTGGATCTCACTGCTGCGCTCTGATTGGCTCCGGCGGAGTTTGAATGTTTGGCGAGGCGATGCAGCTGGCGCGTTCAGACGTGGCTCTTCGCCTCCAGGGCGGCAGCTCAGCCCGGGTGGTTTGAGCAGGATCGTCCCGGAGGAAGCCTGTTCTGGATACCAATCCGAAGCTGAGCTTCTGCCTTCCTAGTACTTGCATCTGCCATAAAGAGTCTCGGCTCACGGGGACTGGTTCGCACGACACGTGAGCAACGGATTCAGTACGTCGTGGGAATCCCGTCGTTAGTCCACGGGACGGGTCAATCGGACCGTCACGTGAACCTGGGCTGGGGTTTATTTGTTTGGGAGCTTCCTGTGCCGTAAACGGATCCCTTGTGTTGTGTGAATGGGTGTTTAAGGTGTCGTGTGAATGGATGCTTCAGTGGCTGCTGCCGTTTTATCACCCTTGCTCTCACCTAGTCGAGTGAGAGCGAGAGAGAGAGAACTAGACCTATTGTTCTGGTCTTTCTTCTGAATCCCCTTGCTTGCTGTACGTCTGAAAAGGCCAGGTTAACAAAGAAAAAAACTGAACTCAGATGCTTGACGCTTCTTGTAACAGAAACCTCAGCAACGGTCCAGCAAAACAGACTGCGGGTAGTCCTCATCTTACAACAACAGAACCTAACATTGCCATTGCTAAGCAAGACTGTTCTTAAGGGATTTTTGCCCCATATTACGACCTTTCTTGTTACGGTTGTTAAGTCAGTCCTTGCAGTTGTTAAGATTGTCACGTTGTTGTTAACTGAATCTAGCTTCCCCATTGACTTTGCCGGTCAGAGGGTCGCAAAAGGGGATCACCTGACCCCCAGGGACACGGCAACAGTCATAAATATGAACCAGTTGTCAGGCATCCAAATGTAAATCACGTGACCATGGGGATGCTGCAACGGTCATAAGTGTGAAAAACTGTCATAACTTTTTTCAGTGGTGTTGTAACTTCAAAGAACTGTAAGTTGAGGACTACCTGTAATTAGATATGTCATTTAATTATCCTATTTTTTCCCATAATGCTGTGGTTCCCAACCTTTTCTTCACCACAAACCTCCTTTAAATGCCTTTTGTGGCCACGGCCACTACAGACCCCCAAGACTTAAGTCAAGGTTTAAATCATAACATTTCTTCAAGCTTTTGCGGACCCCCTGTGACAACAACATCACACACACACCCCACCAGGGGTCTGCAGACCACAGGTTGACAACCACTGCCATAACAAATTGCTGCATCAAACTATTTCTCTTTTTTTTTTTTTACTACAAAGACTCATCAAACACCGCAATAAAGATATCTGATTTCATTGTAGGCGATTTCCTGATCTGTTTTGTCTTTCTCAAACAATTCAGGCGGACACAAATGAAGACATAGTTTAGCCTGGAATTGCAGAAAATGGCTAGAGTTAAGCGACGGGGCCAAAAATGGAGACCCAGAACAAAATCTTCCTCAAAGAAAAAAAAACATATTGAGTTTCCATCTTCATCTATTCTTCCTTCAAAAGCTTTCCCTCCAAAGTAAGTGTTTCTCATTTTGCTTTAACATTTCTGAATAACGTTTTGCAACTTGCAAAATATATATATTTTTTGTTAAACCTGCGTACAGGAAGTCCTTGACATACAACCACAATTGAGCCCAAAATATCTGTTGTTAAGTGAGACATTCGTTAAGTGAGTTTTGCTTCATTTTACGACTTCTCTTGCCTCGGTTGTTAAGTGAATCACTGCAGAGGATAAGTTAGCAACTTGGTTGTTAAGTGAATCTGGCTTCCCCTGTTGACTTTGCTTATCAGAAGGTCGCAAAAAAGTGATCACATGATTTATTTATTTATTTATTGCATTTATATCCCGCCCTTCTCCTTGCGGACTCAGGGCGGCTGACAATTAGATAAAATACTAACATATTATACACCTAATTAAAATTTGATTAAAAAGAAATATTTAAATTTGTCTAATTAAAAGTAATTAAAACCCCTTTAAAATCCCTTAGGCCAGTCCCGCTAGATGGAACAACCACGTCTTGAGGGCGCGGCGGAAGGAAGGGAGATCAGGAATCACCCTTATCTCTGGGGGCAGTTCGTTCCAGAGGGTGGGAGCTCCCACAGAGAAGGCCCTCCTCCTTGGGGTCGCCAGCCGGCACTGTCTGGCTGACGGCACCCCGAGGAGACCCACTCTGTGAGAGCGTACAGGTCGGTGGGGGGTAATCTGTGGCAGGAGGCGGTCTCGAAGATAGCCAGGTCCGATGCCATGGAGCGCTTTAAAGATAATAGTCAACACCTTGAAGCGCACCCGGAAGGCTACCGGCAGCCAATGCAGCTCGCGCAAAAGCGGCGTGACATGGGAGCGACGAGTCCCTCCCAACACCGCCCGCGCGGCCGCATTTTGAACTAGCTGGAGCCTCCGGGTGCTCCCCAAGGGGAGCCCCATGTAGAGAGCATTACAGTAGTCCAGGCGGGAAGTGACAAGGGCATGAGTGACCGTGCGTAAGGCGTCTCGGTCCAGAAACGGCCGCAACTGGCGAATCAGGCGAACCTGATAAAACGCTCCCCTGGTCACGGCCGACAACTGGTCATCCAATGTCAGCCGCGAATCCAGGAGAACACCCAAGTTGCGGACCCGATCCGAGGGGGCCAAAGTTT